TTCCCTTATATGTAATTGGAAAAAACTCAAAAACACCCATAAAAACTGCAAAACATAATGTGAAACTGCAAATTTGCATGGATTTCCGCATGGACCTAATGAACCTCCATACCAATTTTGGTGAAGATCCATCCACACCCTGAAAAGTAGTACATGGACATACAACAGACAGTACTATTATATTTATATAGATAGAACACTTTAAATAGCTTATTTATAAATTTTTGCAAATTAAGGTAGACAGAAAGGTAAAAGTATTTATTAACACCTTAGACTATGAAGGTTCAAGTATTTCGGTTTTCTTTTGATTCTTGTATTTAGAGATATATTTTGTGACGCTCCAGATAATGGTGGAAAGCTTTCCAACTAGACATTGTGAATATCCAGATTCTTATTATTATATACATAACAAATTCTATATAATTCTTGTATTTCTCAGCGTTTTTATGTTTAATATTACTTAAAGAATTTGGATAGCCAACGAGTTTTTGTTTTAAACTGAACTATAAAAGAATAATCACATATACAGTTTTATTACTTCATAATTAAGTTTCACCTAAGTATCCATCAGGGAGTTCGTGCGCTCCTTGAAATTCTTCTGTGACCACAAACAGTGAATATTAATTACTTAACTTTCTTACTCCTGACTATTGATAAAAAAAGAAAAGAAATAGGTTATTAATAGGTTAATTACAGCTTTTAGTTGGTTTTGCTTTGTTTTAATCTTTTAAAATTGTTAAGCCTACTTTTCCGTGTTTTCATTTCATAAGAGACACTGATGACCACTCCAGAAATGTTGGTGTAACCAAAACACTTAGCCTTCCCTCCCCATTAAAATATTTGTATATGAAAGCTTTATTATAATCGTGTATTAATAAATATTTCATTCTTTACCACCTTTTCCATGTTTTTCTAAAAATACCTAGATCCAAATAAAACTTTTATAACCGTTCCAAAGGCTGACTTAGAGATTTGTATTTATTTGCGATTTTGTTTATTTAAAGATATTTTAATGTAGAAACTTGAAATTGACATAAAGTAGTAATATATATATATATATATTACTCGTTTTCTTTATATCCAGATGCACATTGTCCAAAAGGCGCCGTGTTTACAACATGTGGTTCCCCGTGTAAACAAACCTGTCGGAACTACAGACGGAACAAGCCCTGTAGGAGGCGCTGCAGACCTGGTTGTAATTGTCCTGTGGGGACTGTTTTGTCCAAGAATCGTTGCATTTCGACTGATAAATGCCGTTCTTAATATCTCGAGAAGACTGCTTTTAATTAATTGAAAGTAAAATGGTTTTGATCTCTGTTGATTTCTGCTATAGGTGACATTAGCATCCAGTTATTCCATCCGCTGAAACAAAAGGATTTTCATCCACATCTGTTCACTAGATAAAACAACTTCAGGACAGTGACAGTAAAAGGATGAGTCATCAATGCTTAGAACGAAGTAAACATTACGCTTTAATGATTCATGTGATGATCAGTCATTAGAGCTATTTTGTATGTGTGCAAACAGCTTTGCTCCAAAACGCCTGCATAGTAACTGTTCATAATCTCAATGACTGCCTGTGGACGGTGGTCGGCGGCGGATCCCCCCTTCCCCGTCGTTCGCTAACTTTGTTTCAGTGGTATGGTGTCTTGAAAATATTCGAACATTTTTTCACTGCAGATTTACTAAAGAGTTCTAAAATGAAATGCAATGGATGAGAACTTGTGATTTTCTATCTTCAAAAGTATCTAAAATTCTGTGTGATTCGAACAAAACAACCACAGGAAGTCTAGGTGTTGTACTTGTCTTATACGTATTTTGTTGTATGTGTTAACAAACGGGATTTTTCACCTAATAAGGGCAACTGCTTATTTCGATCCTGTAATAATCTACCATTACATACATGTCAAAGTTAACTTTCTTATCCACAAAACGGTTTTATTACAAAAAATCGGCACCACCGCTACTCGTTGTGATTCCAACACCAACATGTTGTGAATTGAAAAACAAGAAAATAATCATATCCCGAATTTTAAGGAAATTGAAAACTGCGTCTTGACAATGGAATTGCAGAAGTGAATATGGCTCGAAACAATACAAAAATTAACTTGTTTGTATATAGATATCTATTTATAATTTTTTACTATGCAACATATATTGACATAGCTTTACTTACTCTATTGTGAAAGAAGAAATCGACCATCTTTTTTTTCTGTTTTTTTTTTTTAAGTACGCAAAGGATCGACTAATGTCTTTTTGTGAAATTATTGCTCAGGTTATGCATGTTAAAATCTATATGGTAAATCAAGTCCTAAATCTGTGGAAATATGCTGTTTCAACTCTCCAAAATGTTTTCTAACTCTTTGCCTCTTTTGTTTGTATAATATACGATTTTTATTACTTTTCCAACTTACTGTCGCATTACGAGACTTTACATTTACAGTTATAATAACATCTGGTATAGACTGACATTCTAACTGTGTCACATTAGGGCATTTGAATATATATATATATTAGTTATTTGTTTCTTTCTTATTGTGGATACAGGTGTTACTTCATTGTATAATATCAAGTTGATTCAATTGATTTACGGCATCGCAACAGATAAGGTAATACAAGTTCCTATTAAGGAATTATTCGATGGCATACAATGTTCAGATATTGTGGTTTTTAGTACCAGTTTCCTGAACTTAGTCATTGAGCTTTCCGGCCAATTATTCTGCGAAAATAGTAGACTTAAATAAAACATCTCAACGATGGGTGTTTTTTGTCGGAGATCGTGACATTGCTTCGGTAAATACTGTTTTTATCATGTTTATTGCTAGTTAATTGTTTTCTTTTTTTAACTTTAAATTAGCCACTGATGTAAATTATTTCATCCAGGACGTTACAGTTGTACCTCCCTAATAGATTAGTTAGAAAACGAAAGTAGCCTTTGGCAGATAAATTATGAGGTCTTCATAGTCTTCAAATTTGGTTTAACCCAGAGTAGTGTTTACGTTCTGCCAGGTATCTTGGAATCTGAGATCCAAAACCTGTTTGGGATTTATTTTTTAATCTAAAGGCGGGAACAGTATAAGTTTATGACTGCCTTGGTTACATTGCGAATTCATATTTGACTGACGTAGTCATCTACATTAATCAACTCCAATCTCATCCTAAATAAGATCCTCAGAAACGTTTAAATTGTTGTCTTCGAAACCTCAAAATCCCCCACCCCACTCTGCAACGGGAATCCAATACCTTATTTCTTCTTCTAGAAATGAATCATTATGCCAGAAAGTAAGGGTTATGATGACAGTTTGTGTCTTCACTTTGGTAAGGGTTATGATGACAGTTTGTGTCTTCACTTTGAAGGTTCAACTTACGTTATTTAATTAAACATTTGCTTCTCTTGTAATTATTTAGCGATTTTTTCCAGCAACCAAGACACATAATAACAATAAATATTATTAAAGTTGTTTAAAATAAGAAATAACTGAGTTACATTTAACGGTGCATATTTACAAATTCTTTAACCTGTAATAAACAGATCCATCTAAACATTCTAACGTTATGTATACAAATGGGGACAACATCTAGACACAGCTTTACAGGACTACTGTATGTAGTGAGTCACATGAAGATAATACCGCACTTCATGCTTTAGTGCTGAACTCTGCTTTACAAGAAGGGTTTACTGTTTACGTTAAAGTTAAGTAAAAGTTTTGCCTTTGTTTTTACTAAAAGTAGATGTTGTGAGATAACAGTTAAAACTGAGTGTATATGTGTATCTTGATATACAGTTCTGTATATTTAAGCTGAGACCTCTGTTTTTAAAGCTGTAATTAGAAAATAGTCACAAGAGAAATGTGTTATCGGCAGGGATGTTTCTGAAAATTCTGTACTTCTCATTTTTATGATCAGTAAAGTTCCTTTACATTTTTTGGATATTACGAGTTATCTGTGTCTCATCAACAATACATTAATTGCCAGACTTGCTTCGTTGTCCTTGATTTATCAATCAAGAGAGCATCTTTTTTCATCACTTACCCTCGAAACAATCTTAAATTTTGATTTACTGCTAAGTCACATTCACCGAGAGTTTGATAATATACACATGATTTGTTAGTATTATGGTGTAAATGTCTTTTCTCAGCTAGAGAAGCATTGTTATAATTAATTATACTTCTCATAAAACATTAGTATTAGGCCTATTATATTTTTAACACTACATTTTTTAATCAGTTCCTTAGGATTTATTCAATGAGAAAGTGCTCATATCGTAACGATAGTTGTTGTATCAAACGACTTATATAAATAATGTTCCGCACAGTAATGTGTTTGTTGTATTCTAACCAGCCTGATGAGTTCTGTATTGAGCGAAATGCGTCGTCTGCAAAGAATATGGTAGGTATAGTGCGGTTGAAATACTGTTTATTATATACTCTTCTTCTCCTTGAAAAACCCTAAACGGCTGAATGAAGAAAGTGTGTTAAAAACGTAATAGACCTAATACTAATATCTTAAAACGAGTATAATTTATTTCTTATAGGTCATTAAATGTGCACCTTTTTTATGTTTTTTAGCCACCTGGTGGTTGATCTAATAGATCTATAATTACGTCTAGGACATTTAAATTCGTACCATACTGGAGATTGTTTTCAACAGTGATATTTTAAGTTTCAACCTACCTTATTATTATGTACCCTCAGGGTTAAACAGCTGTTTAATCAATATATAGATAAGTTCTTTGAAAAACTTACACAAATAATATTTCCCACTTAATATGCGTTTACCAGTATAAGGCAATGTTATTGGCAAGGGTTGTTTAGGAACGTTCCCTTTTAACTGTTTAAGACTATTGGCCTCACCCAAATAATAATGCTATCTATAAATGTATCTGGAAAGCCATTTTTCGTTTAAAATATTATAATGTTTCGAAAATCCTTTGGAAGATACTTACATGTGGTGGTAATTTTATAAGAACGATAACTGAGTATCGTAAACAAACTTAATTGGGCGCAAATCTGGAATGATGATGTCAAGGTTCAAATATAAATCAGTAAATATATTTTTCTCACACACTCTTCATTCAAACTTGCCATTATTATTATATATTAATGTGATAATAAACGTAACTTGATATTCTTGTTTTACACTCTGCTGTTAATTTTATATTATTATGTCGATTGTTAAGGTACTTCAAAAATGATCAGCATGTTCAGGATCACTAAAGATGAAAAAAATAACCTCCAATAATATACAGATTTGAAACTGAAAAGACAATGTTAAACTACTAATTTCATAATAGCATAGGAAAAAAGTTGTCAAATGACTGTGCTAACCTGGGATCCACTTCTACTCCATCAGTTTGCACATACAATGCCGTTAAACTGGAAATGAAATTAATAAGTGTTTAATTTTAACAAGTTTTTAAGGACATGCGTAGGAAACTGCTACAATATTAGCATTTTTATATAAGAACGATCCACTGTTACTTTCATTATCTCTTCCAATTGAATATTGGTGTACAAAACTCTACATCAATTTGCTCAATTCGCATTTTATTGGAAAAAATAAATCCTTGAATAATGTATCAATTATGTATAAATTGTGAAAACTAAATAAAGGACGAGATAATTCGTAATTTCATGTTAAAAAAATATAGGTCTACAGGATAGCCTTCTTTGGGTACTTTCGGAACACTGTACAAAATACCCGAGTAACCACCTAATGACTTTACACTAAAATATTCTATTGTGTTAATATCCTATCTTTTTCAAGTCTACATATAACATTGTCATTTAATTACTCTAGTTTTTCTGGGATCTGTTTTAAGTTAGACGCGGTTGTATTATTAAAAAAATCTCTATTTTAGAGTTATTATAGTCGACGTGCCCGTTCAATACACGTGGGAAATATTGGAATCCCCGGGGGATGACAATGGGAGGTCAGATCTTAACCCTGATTCATCTATTCACTCCTTGAGGGCACTATGGGTGTATGCTAGGTTTAATGATAATGGGTCCAACAGTTCGCCAATTATAAACGGACACAATTCAGAGGAAGACATACGGGCCCCAGAGAATGACATAACGAAGGGGAAACAGAACTCAATGTCAAATACTCTGTGTTACTCTCCGGGAGGTCCTAAGGATTTATGTCAGATTTAGTGACAATCGGTTTGGCGGTTCGGCAGTTATAAGCAGACACACAAACACTTTTGTCAAATAAAGGTTTAGATCAGTGATTGCCAATTTATAGTATGTGTATCACTGGGGATACGTGGGGCTAATGTAGGTGGTGCGGGAAAGAATTAACATAAAAATAGTAAAACATATAAATAGCCCAATTTGGTTTTCCCGCGCACACTTCTGACCCGCATAGGCCCTCAGTGTTTTTCTCCCTTCAAATTGATAAAAAAAAAATCAAACCGCACATTCTTCAATTGTGCCAGAAACACGATCACACCCTTCCCATTAACGAGTTAGTCTCAAAAATATTAATGTGCATTACTAGATTTGTTTTGCTTTAAAAAATAGTTTTGGTTTGTACCCCATAAAAACAAACAAAACACGTTTAAACAAAAAAAAGTAGTACACAAGATTGAAAAGTTTGATTAGATAATCTGGTTTATTCAGGGTAACCATACCATTTCCTTTATTAGATTTCATTATACCTACTTCATCATTTTTACTAAGATATTTTATAGCTATTCTTTCTTCTTTACTAAGTTTAGTGGATTTATATTTGGTAAAAGAAGACAGATTTGTACCACTCGCTGAGTTCTACAATCCTCAAATAATTTACAACTACCAGACCATATATATTTTGTTTTGTAACATGCAATAATTGTTCAAAACTTAAAAGATAATTTACAACTTTAAATTTAGAGGAGTAACAAACTTTAAATTACGTGTATTACTGTATTATTCTTTCTTTCAAGACGTAACCAGAAAACCTAAAAATTGAATTATTAGGATGATTAAAAAATTGTGTTATTCATCTGATGTATTCTTGGTTAGTTAGGTTTATCCAAATGGTTTGGTCTAATTTCGCAGTTTAGTAATAATTTTTTTAACACGTCGAGATGGATAAAACTACAAATGGAAACCTTAAAATATTAGGTGTAACATTATTATTTTTAAATATTTACATAATTTGATGTACGTTATATTTTTAATACTTTAAATGTAATTCAACAGTTTTCCTAAAGTTGGTTAAATCCAGATTATCAAAACTGTTGTTAATAACATATTAACACCACAGTTCAATGAAACAATGTCCTCAATTTACACCATTAGCAAAAACGCCGCCATACAGGCTGCTGTTTGTGCTAGTAATTACTAATCGTAATATTCATACCTCATTGAAAAAAAAATTGAAAAAGTGAAAATTTTATTTAAAAAATGATTTTTTTTCTGAGGAGTACTGCACGGGAAAAATGTTCAGATTGTGCTCTTTAGTCATTCACAGCTCATTGCATCAAAATGATTCAATGTACAGAGCTCAAAATTTTAACATATTTTTACGACAGCGGAAGTCGCGTGACGCTGGGAGCATGCGCGCTGGAGATTCTAGAATTATGGAGAACCTCGCGAATGTCCGAGTGTTTGCTAGACGCCCTCTTTTTTAGATATAAGCCTGGCGAGAAAAACCAGCGCAATGGCAGAGATAGATAGAGTGAAGAGATAGAT